AGTCCCCCAGACAAATCTTTTAAAACTACAAATCTGTCACTTACCTGTTTAAAAACGTTGGCTTCTTTCCCATTATACTTCACACATTGTACTTTGGGAGGAAAAAAATCTACATCCATATCAGGTTCTACAGGCTCCATACATCTGGCCCCTGCCAACCTCTCCACTCACCCTCTGTCCCCTAGCTATACTGGCCTCTCCTTTTCTTGAACATGCCAAGCTCTGTTATAACTCAAGGTATTTACCTTTCCCTCTATTTAGAACATTCTTGGCTAAGTCATATGGCTAAGTCCTTCTGGACCTTCAGGTTTGGGTACCTCCTCAGAAAAATTTTCCCTGACCTTCTCTACCTAAGTGATTTCCCCTACCCCATTCCAACATTGTCCTCTGTCCCTGTGGCATGTCTTTTCATTCATAGTCCTTACTATTTGGCTGTCTTTGATACTAGGCTGTTGGCTTCACAAGGGCAAGGATCACATCTGTTTCACATCTGTTCCAAAACCCTAGTGCCTAAGGTTGAGTCTAGCACAGCCGTGGGCAAACTACGGCCCGCGGGCCGGATCCGGCCTGTTTGAAATGAATAAAACTAAAAAAAAAAAAGACCGTACCCTTTTATGTAATGATGTTTACTTTGAATTTATATTAGTTCACACAAACACTCCATCCATGCTTTTGTTCTGGCCCTCCGGTCCAGTTTAAGAACCCATTGTGGCCCTCGAGTCAAAAAGTTTGCCCACCCCTGGTCTAGCACAAAGTAAATACTCAATATAGTTTTGTTGAAAGAATGGATTAATTAGCAAATTAATTCATCATCAACACTCAGAGCCTATAGATGGTGGAGGGGCGGAACTTGTGAGAGGATACAGAGGTTGATGTTCCAGATATGGTCCTTCTATTCCATGATGCCATAACCTGATTTATGAAAAACAAGTAAGTAATGCACTGGAGATCAGAACTGGAACAGAGAGAGGCCGATACCCCAGTGTAGGGTATGTATGTAATTAGAAAGAAGGCTGTGTTTACATGATCCAGGGCACCAGCATCTCCCTAAAAGAAAGTTTCTTCTTGTATTAATGAATGTTTATCTAAATACCAAGTTCCATGTACTGTTTCTTGTTTGTTTTTAACGTGTTCACAGTTATAGAGCTTCTAAGTCAGTGGTTCTCAACCTTGGCTGCACATTAGAGTCACCTGGGAATCTTTTTAAAATCCTGATTTCTGGGCCTCACCCTCCGGAAATTCTGTTTCTTTGTTATGGGGTGGGGCCACAACATTAGTAACAAAGAAACAGAATTTCCGGAGGATGAGGCCCAGAAATCAGGATTTTAAAAAGATTCCCAGGTGATTCTAATGTGCAGCCAAGGTTGAGAACCACTGTTCTAAGTGATAGAGCTAGGATTCAAAACTAGGTGGTCTGGCTCCTGAACCTATAACCTTTTTCTTTTCCACTAATTTGAACTGAAATTCAAATAACATAAAGTTAACTATTTTGAAGTAAACAATTCAGTGGCACCTAGTACATCCACAATGTTGCACAACTACCACCTCTATCTAGTTCCAAAACATTTCCATCACTCCAAAGTAGAACCGCTTAACCATTAAGCAGTTTACCCATCACCCTCCATGTACTATTTTTGATCCTCATAGACCCAATTGTACAATTGTGGAAAGTGAGGCTCTGAGAAGTTTAGTGATAGGTCCAAAGTCACATAGCTAGTAAGTGTGGAGTAGTGATTTTGAACCTTAATTTTCTGACTCCAGAGCATAAACCGTTGATTAATACACATCTTTGGGCAAACTCATAAGAAGGGGGCTGGACTTGGGTTTTAAAGGGAGTGAATTTTGTTGGGGCAGGAATCTAGAAGTCGTTAAGTGCACACTCAATTGTAAGAAACTGAGTTGGCCCTGGCTGGTTTGGCTCAGTGGGTAGAGTGTTGGCCTGCGAACTGAAGGGGTCCCAGGTTTGATTCCAGTCAAGGGCACATGCCTGGGTTGCAGGCTCCATCCCCAGTAGGGGATGTGCAGGAGGCAGCCAATCAATGATTCTCTCTCATCATTGATGTTTCTATCTCTCTCTCCCTTCTTCTCTAAAATCAATAAAAATATACTTAAAAAAAAAAAAGAAAGAAATGAGTTGAGGTAAACTAGTACTGCACAGGCCACCAGCAAAGCAAAAAGTAATGTAAGCCCAAAAGCAACTCTAGGGCGGGGACATGGAAAGGTCAGCCTTACAAGCTTTGCAAAAGCCTCGAGAACAATAGTTGGCTAATTCCCGGGGCAGCCCCTAAAAGGGCCAAGCTGGGCGCTGAAGAGCAGCAGAGTAGCCAGGAGGGCGTGGCTTGCCTTATGCAGGCCGCCAGGCCCAGCCAAGAAGCCCCAGGTGCTGAGAGAAGCTGGGGTGCAACTGGAGAGCACAAAGCAGGAAGCAGGCCGCAGGCCGGCTGCACCCACTCTGAGGGGTCCTCCGGGGCAAGAGGACGCTCAGGAAGGCCTCGCCTTGTATTTGTCTTCCCCCTCCCGGAGGGGCTGTCATCACCCCAGCATCCCTCTTCCTCCACATGGGGGTGCCCTCTCCCTGGAGGTCAATGACCCTAGAGTTCTCCCCATTTTAGGGGTCTCAGACAGAGAGCAACCCTCTAAGTTGCCTCTCATGGTTTCCCTTTATCACTCGAGTGACAGTGCTACGGACCCTCCTGCCCCGATGATGGAGGGGTTCTCACACAAGCCCCGCCTTCTTCCAGCTCGGTGGTGCGGAAGTTCTACTGCAACAACGTGCCGCGTTCGGCCCGACAGTGCCCCTGGGGCTCCCGCAGAGCAGTTCCACGGGAAACGAAACTGCACAACTCCGCGGAGGTATCGCGAGAGGCGCGGAGGCGGAGAGGAGGAGCGAGGGCGCCGGCCCCGGAGAGGAGGAGCGAGGGCGGGAACAAAGAGTGAAGGGGGCGGAGCCTGGGCGCTTCCGAGGTCGAGGCGGCGGACGGTCCCTCCCAGCCGCGTCCCCGCGTGACTGTGCTTTTACATAATCAAGGCCGCGCGCGTCATAAGTGGCGTACTCCAGTCCAGACCCAATCAGCGTCGTCGGGAGCTCCGTGTCCCGCCCCTTCGTGCTTGATGGATGTCGGGGTGACCAGTGAACAGGCGCCCAGCGTCGCCGCGCCCGCCCAGGTCCGGCCGCACCCGCCCGCCCGCCTGCCGCAGCCCGCACCCTGCCGCCGTTGCCGCCGCCGCCGCCTCCGTTGCCTCTGCCCGGTTGTGCCTCAGACTGTCAGATAAAGCGGCGGACTGAGCCGGCGGGGCTTCGAGCACGGCCCGGGCCGGACATGGCGGCGCTCTACGCCTGCACCAAGTGCCACCAGCGCTTTCCCTTCGAGGCGCTGTCTCAGGGGCAGCAGCTGTGCAAGGTGCGCGGGCCGGGGCGGCGGCCTGGGACTGGGACGCTGGAGGCGCGGGTCGGAGCTCCCTGTTCTGCAGGGACGCTCGGCGGGGCCCCCCGCTCAGGGCGTGGCGGGCTCGCCTAGCTAAGGAGCCGCACCCTTCCCGCTGGGGGCCGGCGGGGCGAGTGGGGGAGTCCCAGCCCCGGCCCTGGCCCCCTTGGCGGCGTGTCCGGCTGCTTAGCAACCGCGGGGTGTTCTCGGACCCGGGGAGGGCGGGGGAGTGGACAGCGGGTCCCCTGCTTGGCCCCAGCCAGCCGCGCCGGAGACCCTTCTTGGGCTGGCGGGTCCCCCGCCGTGGTCTGCCGCCTGGTTGCCGGCTGGAGGACCCCCTGCCCCGCCCGGGACCCAACTCCAGAGCTGGGTACTGCCTGAGAAGAGTGACTCGAACTGGGGCGCCTCCCGGACACTTGTCAGCTAGTCTCAGAGTCCGAGGTGGGGAGGATTTTAGAAAAGGCCCGCCCACAGTCAAGCGCACGAAGCAGAAGGGTGATTTTCTCAACATCCAGCTGCTGACCTCGGTCCTCATCCTAACCAGCTGTGGGTCAGTTTTTACCCCTGAAGGTTTAAGTTCCCTTTTTTTCGTTGAAGTTGCTTCATCCTGCTTTGCCTATGTAAGGGGAGAGAAGAGCTGTGAGGCCACAGTTAAAAGTCGCCAAGCTGGCTTTCAAAATTACATTAGACAGTCGTTTTATATACGTAAGCAATGATGAATTTAACGCGGCACTTGCACTTCACAAGTGGACCTGCTCAAAAATCACACAGGGGTAGTGGCAGCACTAGGCTAGAGTCCAGGGCTTCTAACTCCAGCCTTAGGCTTATTCATACAATTTATGACTACAGACTAGTTCCGTACAAAGTCCGACTTATCTCCCATATCACCGCAGGACAGTGATGACGGTATTACGGAGGGAAAAATGAGGCCCGGCGTGTTTCAGTGACTCACTGAGCACAGTGGCTGTGCGGGGTACTGAAGCTGTTTCCATGTCTGACCGCCTATTAAAATCACGTCCTCATTTCGTTTCAGGAATGCCGGATTGCACACCCTGTTGTGAAGTGCACCTACTGTAGGACTGAGTACCAGCAGGAGAGGTACCGTTTTTGTTGACCATGAAAAATGTTAATAGGCTTTTTTTCCTCTTAAAACTTGTAATCAATTTCACTTTACACAGATTCTGCAGTTTTTTGTTCCTCTCCATGGAAATCTTTAGTAAAAGGCCAAAGATTGAGCTCTGGCTGGATGGATTAGCTGTTGGGGGCCTTGTCCTGTACACCAAAAGGTGGGGGCTTTGATTCCCTGCCCTGATGGCAACCAATGGATGTGTGTCTCTCACATCGCTGTTTCTCTCTCTTTGTCTCTTCTCTTCCCTTTCACTCTCTCTAAAAATCAGTGAGGAAAATATCCTCTGGTGAGGATTGATTAAAAAAATCAATAAAAAAACATATCCTTAGGCGAGGATTTTTTTTAAAAGGCAAAAGATTTATGTGATCTGAAGGGAAAACAGTATGATTCTGCAGTTTTTTGTTTAATATATTTTTATTGATTTCAGAGAGAGAGAGAGAGAGAGAGAAAACATCAATGATGAGAGAGGATCATTGATCGGCTGCCTCCTGCATGCCCCCCACTGGGGATCAAGCCCGCAACCCGGGCATGTGTCCTTTGTGGGAATCGAATCTGGGACCCTTCAGTCCACTGGCCCACACTCTATCCACTGAGCCAACCGGCTAGCGCTGTAGTTTTTTTATTATAACACGTTGATGGGTATAAAATACACATGTTCCCTAGTTATGTCTAATTTTGATGGCTTAAAAAAATTTTTTTAAAGAAAACATTTTTGTTGACTCTTAGAAAGAGAGGGAGGTAAAAGGAGAGAGAAACACAATGTGAGATTGAAACATCGATTAGCTACCTCCTGCGCCCTCTACCTGGGCATGTTCCCCGACTGGGAATCCAACCGGCAACCTTTCAGTAAACCAGAGGGCATCCAACCAACTGAGCCACCTAGTTAGGCTTAAATTTTTTTAAGTAAACTTTTCTTCAGATCCTTGATCATTTTATATTGTGGTTATAAGCTTTATGACACTCAGAAACCACAGGAGTTCAACATGAGCCTTATGCTCCAGTATGTCTATATACAGAGTTGGAAGAATTTATGAGCCAAAAGAAGATACTTTTGGAAATGTGGCAATCCTGGAAAAGGATTTGTTAGCCCTATTCACATTTGAAACTTATTTTTAAAAGTGTGAAAAACACATAGGTACTTAGGTATGAATAAACACATCTTTGTGGGAGAGATGCTTTTCTATAGCAGTAAAGTGCTTTGTGGTTTATTAGTTTAGTAAGTTCAACCTTTGTGGGACTGCACGTTTAAGCGACAGAGCCTTAAGCACGGTGGGGCCTATTTGCTAGCTCACACATGGAAACATACAGAATATACTCTAGAAGCTTTAGTTTTTAGCTTTTATATTTAGGTTTAGGATTCATCTTTAATTTTTGTGTGTGGGGTAAGATAAGAAGTTTGATCCTTAATTCATACCATACATAAATGTTAATTCAAGATAGATCATGGAAGTAGTTTCACTTTGCATATTTTCTAAGATGTTAGGAACGCTTGTATATATTGATAATATATCCCACCTCTTCAATAATAAATCTAAGTATATACCAAAATATTCAGCATCACAGAATCACTGATGCTAATCCTTTTTTTAGAAGTCTCTCAATGTACTTCGCTTCTTGTACTGCCTTCTTAAAATTGCAGAAAGTTGCCCTGGAAAATATTTTCTTTGAATATCTCGTTTTAATTTAAATGTTTTCTACTTTGAGGTTTTTCTTTTGTCTGTTTTAACGTTATGGTCACTTTCATAGGAACTGTATGGTAAAATAATCATAACATAGTGAATAGGCTGGATTTGCTATATTATAATTTTGTGTGATTTTATTTTTATCTCCAGAATATTGTTTAAACTGTTCTTGCACACCAATCACTTGTTTGTACATCCCTTTTTGAAGAGTTAGACTTTATTTAAAGATGATTTTTTCCCCCAAGGCGGTTCATCAGTTCAGGCATTTAGGTAATATTATGTATGAACTCTGGCAAAGGACATTTTTATTTCTGTCAGTCTTTGGCTCTTAGACAAATTGGAAATATTGACAAAATATTTGGTTAGAGCCCTGACTGGTTTGGCTCAATGGATAGAGCATCGGCCTGCGGACTAAAGGGTCCCAGGTTCGATTCCGGTCAAGGGCATGTACCTTGGTTGTGGGTACATCCCCAGTAGGAGATGTGCAGGAGGCAGCTGATCGATGTTTCTCTCTCATCGCTGTTTCTAACTCTCTATCCCTCTCCCTTTCTCTCTGTAAAAAAATCAATAAAATATTTAAAGCCGAAACCGGTTTGGCTCAGTGGATAGAGCGTCGGCTTGCGGACTGAAGGGTCCCAGGTTCGATTCCGGTCAAGGGCATGTACCTGGGTTGCGGGCACATCCCCAGTAGGAGATGTGCAGGAGGCAGCTGATCGACGTTTCTCTCTCATTGATGTTTCTAACTCTCTGTCTCTCTCCCTTCCTCTCTGTAAAAAATCAATAAAATATATAAAAAAAATAAAAATAAATAAATAAAATATTTAAAAAAAAATATTTGGTTATAGTATCTATATCCCCACATCTGGGATTTTTATATTCTTGTAGAGAGGAGCATAGATAAAGAAAAGTCAACATGGATACAATTTCTGAGTTTCTATTTCAAACAGATATATTTAATATTAACCTCAAATTTTTCAACTATTCATCTGAACTAAGGAGAATTAATTTATTTTCTGCTAGTCCAATTCAGTCTAACATAACATTCCTTTTAAAAAGTATATTTTAGCCCTGACCGGTTTGGCTCAGTGGATAGAGCATCGGCCTGTGGACTGAAGGGTCCCAGGTTCGATTCCTGTCAAGGGCATGTACCTTGGTTGCAGGCACATCCCCAGTAGGGAGTGTGCAGGAGGCAGCTGATCGATGTTTCTCTCTCATCAATGTTTCTAACTCTCTCTCCCTCTCCCTTCCTCTCTGTAAAAAATCAATAAAAAATGTATATATTTTTTAAAAGTATATTTTATTTTTTTTCTTATTAACTTGGGAGAGAGAAACATCAATGTGATTGGCTGCCTCCTGCACGCACCACAATAGGGGATCGAACCTGAAACCTGGATATGTGCCTTGACTGGGAATCAAGCCCGCCACCTTTTTGGTGTATGGAATGACACTCCAACCAACTGAGCCACACCAGCCAGGGCTCTTTGGTTGATTCTTTTTTAAAATATGTTTTTATTGATTTCAGAGAGAGGAAGGGAGAGGGCTAGAGAGATAAAAACATCAATGATGAGAAAGAATCATTGATTGGCTGCCTCCTGCATGCCCCCTACTGGGGATTAAACCCACAACCCAGGCATGTACCCTGGCTGGGAATCAAACCATGACCTCCAGGTTCATGGGTCTATGCTCAGTTACTGAGCCACACCAGCCTGGCCTTTGGTTGATTCTTGTATGTGTCCTGACTGGGGTCAAACCCACAACCTTGGTATATCAGGATGATACTCTAACCAACTGAGTTACCCAGCCAGGGCTTTAACATTATATTCTTTTGAGGTTCCTCTCCATATCTGATAATTTTACTTAGAGATGTCATAATCAGAAATAACTCACTATTTTAAACCAAAGCCTCATTTATCTGAGTTAATAAAATTAATAACTACAAAATAATTAAAAGAGCTATTGGCCAGATACTCAACCTTCAGATAACCAGATGTCCAGACTATATTTCACCTTGGCACAAAGCAATGAGCAAATTGCTTGGGCTTAAGGAGGAATCAGTGTTCAGGTGTCCTAACTAAAACAACTTTTTTCTTATAGAAGCCTTGTGTCTCTTTCTTCCTTTACAGTAAAACCAGTACAATATGCAAGAAATGTGCTCAGAACGTGCAGTTGTATGGAACGGTAAGTAGTTTTCTGTGTACCTAACAGTAAGTGCTCAGGTCTCTTGGAACCTTACATTCTGTGGACTATTAATGTAATTACTATATTTTTATTGGAAGAACTAGTTATGTGTAAATACTTTCTCATAAAAATATATCTAGTGTTTGAATTTTCAAACTCAGCTAATACTCAGTTTTGAGGAGTTCTGTATTTATAGTCACTGTTTAGGATTGTGATTATAATTTTTCCAAGAGGCTACAGCAACCAGTATGGAGAAGGAGAAAGATGGATTCCATGACTTGACCTCTTTGTTTGGTAGCAGTCAACTATTCTTTTTTACCCCCATTGATTTTCAGAGAGAGAGTGTAAGAGAGGTGGGAAGGGTGGGGAGAGAGAGAGAAAGAGAGAAACATCAATGTGAGAGAGACACAGATTGGTTGTCTCCTGCACGTGCCTGGACTGGGGCCAGGGATCACACCTGCAACCCAGGTACCTGTCCTTGACTGGAATCAAACCCAAGACCTTTGGTGCACAGGCCAACGCTCTAACCACTGAACCAAGCCAGCCATTGATGAGTGATTTTTTTTCCCTCTCAGGGTGAGGGGTTCAGGATACTATGGTCTTGCAGGCGTTTCTTCCAACATGTTTATACAATGACTAGAGGCCTGATGCACGAAATTCGTGCAAGGGCCTTGGCCCTGGCCTACCACCACCGCAGATGGGGGCCTCTTCCGCCTCTGTCTCGGCCCCGCCTACTGCGGCATTGTGGGAAGGAAGGAAGGACATCCGTTCTAATTAACATAGTATGCTTTTATTATTATAAAGGCAAAGAGGCCTTTTCCAGAAAATTGGAAGTACTTGTTGGTTTCTTCAAAGAGCTCGTTCTGTTGAATTTCTCAAAGAAGTCCCAGCATATACACTAATGAGTTTTTGTTATTTTTTCATTTATTTATTTTAAAATTAATAGTCCTTCACATAAAAACACTTTACATAGTGTTAGAAATTGGACTTCACTTGATCCATCAATGTAAAAGGAAACTTAGGAAGTTTTACCATGACTATGTAATACGAATAATTGCTTTAAAAAAGGCATTGGTATTTTATAATATACTTACTTGACCCTGTTTTTTCCTCTTTTAGCCCAAACCGTGTCAGTATTGCAATATAATTGCAGCATTTATTGGCAACAAATGCCAGCGCTGCACAAATTCAGAGAAGAAGTATGGACCGCCATATTCTTGTGAACAGTGCAAGCAGCAGTGTGCATTTGACAGGAAAGATGACAGAAAGAAGGTAAATCTCTGTGTTTTTCTTGATTTTTTTTTCTTTCAGAGACATGAAGGTGAGCCAATTGTGTTAAAAAGACCTATAACAGAAATAATGTATGATAGAATTGTGCACCTGAAACATATATAACTTTATTAACCAATGTCACCCCACTAAATTCATTAAAAAAAAGAGAGATAACAGAGAAAGGTTTCTCACTTCCACTCCTAGTTCTCATTGACCTCGAAGAAGATACTCAGCCTTTGTTTACTTCATTATCAAATGTGGACCCTTACATCTAACATCTCATGAGTTAGTATCTCATGAGAACCTGAATTATAGTGGTCAATATCCCACATAAGTGAACTGGTGATTGGCAGAATTCTATAGAACTCTGTAAAGGAGAGATTGTGACTCAAGAGAGTCATACTGTCAGTTTTATTGTCTGGCTATTTATTTATTTATTTATTTTTACTCCCTCACCCGAAGATATGTTTGTTTTTTATTATTATTATTATTGGTTTGAGAGAGAGGAAGGGAGAGAGAGAGAGAGAGAGAGAGAGAGAGAGAGAGAGAGAGAGAAAGAGAAACATCGATGTAATAGAGAAATATTGATCGGTTGACTGGGGATCGTACCTGCAGCTTGGGGATCGTACCTGCAACTTGGGTATGTGCCCTGACTAGGAATCGAACCTGCCACCTTTTGGTGTATGGGACGACACTCCAACCAACTGAGCCACACTGGCCAGTCTTACTGTCTGGCTCTTTAATTGTTTCTATCTGTTGAAGTTAAGGATCACAAGAATATGACATAAAGGGAAGCTACATGTGAAATGATGGTACTTTGGTGGAATCAAATGGCACATAGTGTGTTTGGTTTTTTTTCTGTTTAAAGCCCCCCAGTGAGTTCCAGTTGCACTTAAAATAAAACCCAAACTCCTTCCATGGTTTACAAGGCCTATGTCTGACTCTCAGTCTAAGCTGCCATCACACTCACCACTTCTTACCTTGTTCCAGCCATACTGGCCACCTTTTAGTCCATCAGACATGGCAGCCTCATTTTCACCTTTGCCTGATACACCCTTCTCTTAACTGGTTTCTTATGTCACATCTCAGCTCATCAGCTGCCACTTCCTTACAAAGACCTTTTATTAATTCCCTCAGTCACTCTTTATCATATTACCCTGCTTTGTTGTCTTCATAGCATGTAACATTATGATAAATTATCTCATATGCTTAAATGTTTGTCCACACCCACTAGAATGTGAAGTCTTTTAAAAAAAATATATTTTCATTGATTTCAAAGAGGAAGGGAGAGGGAGAGAGATAGAAACATTAATGATGAGAGAGAATCATTGATTGGCTGCCTCTTGCACTCCCCATACCGGGATCAAACCCAAAACCCAGGCATGTGCCCGACCGGTAATCGAACCATGACCTCCTGGTTCATAGGCCGACACTCAACCACTGAGCCACACCAGCTGGGCATAGAATGTGAGGTCTTTATCTTTCTTGTTCTCTGCTATATTTTCTGCATTCTGGCATATAGTATGTGTGTGCTCTCTTTCTGTGTGTGTGTGCGTGCGTGTGTGTGTGTGTGTGTGTGTATGTATATAGATGGAGATAGATAGATTTTGATAGATAAGATTTTACATTATTGAAAACTATCTCCTCTCCCTTTTAATTGTCTTATCTAGCAAGGCCAAAATATTAATATGTATCTTCTAGCTTACTGTTATTTATTGAGAAAAATTATGGTTCTTATTTTCTACTTTTTAAAAAGTGACTAAACTGATTGTTTAATGAAGTGTAATTGACATACAAAATTTTATTAGTCATAGGTGTAAAACAATGATTTGAAATTTGTGTATATTGTGAAATGATCACAATAAGTCTAGTTAACATTCATCACTATTGATAATTACAGAATTTTTTTTTCTTGTAATGAGAACTTTTAAGATCTACTTTTTTAGCAACTTTCAAATGTACAATACAGTATTATTAACTATAGTCACCATGCTGTACATTACATTCCCAGGACTTACTTTATAACTAAAAGTTTGTACCTTTTGACTACCCATTACACCTCCTCCCAACCCTACCTCTGGCAACCACCAACCTACTTTCTTCAATAATACTTTTTGAATAAAAAAATTCAGTACAAAAACTATTTTTCAGTGTCCAAAGGTGCTTTTCTAAGATGCTTAGGCTCTCAAGAGCTGGCTTCTGCTAACCAAATTTACTATAGGAGAATATAACTTTCCAGTGACCAGAATCCTCCTGCCTACCAACCAGGGCACCTCTTCCCTGAATCAAGATATTGCAGAGGCTGAATTAGTAATTAGCCTATCTAATAAAAGGACAATATGCAAATTAACCGTCACTTCATGACAAAGGTGGCGGCGCCCAATCCTCTCAGCCCCGCCAGAGTCCCCAGTCCCGGGGGGGGCAGCTGCTGAGACTGGACAGTGTGAGCGGCCTGACGGAATGCTTGCTTCGTTGCTGTGGCGACAAGGCAAGCGTTCCACCGTGGCCGCAGAGGGCCTCTGGGCAGCAGGCTTGGAACACTTGTGTTGTTGCAGACCGGGCTGAGGGACCCCCCCCACCCCCCCCTGCATGAATTTTGTGCACCGGGCCTCTAGTATAATAATAGTTGGAGCACAAGCTTTGCAGTCCCTCAGACCTGGGCTAGCTGAATGGTCTGGGCAAGCAAGTTAGTCTTGTTATGCATCAATTTAATCTTCATTCCAGTGGGAATAATAAAAGCTAGTTGACAAGGACATAGGGAGATTTTATTGAGATAGGTATATAAAACACTTCATTTTGAGCCTTGCACATAATATAACTCAATTGGTACTTATATTATCATTAATTATATTACATTAGAATTCATTAAGTTTCTACTTTCTTACTTATAATTCTACCTTAAGAGTATGGATAATTTTAGGCATCCTCAATCACATATTCATAAACTTAAGGAGAGCTAAATTTAGGGATTGAGAATAGGTGATCTGGATTCAGAATGCCTGGTTTGAAATCTTGGTTCTGTCACTTATTTGCTGTGTGACTTTGGGCAAGTTAATCTATCATTGCCTCAGTTTCCTCATTTGTGAATGAGGCTGAGCAGACCTCATCATTGTTATGAAGATTGAGGTGTTACGTGTAAAGCCCTTGGAAAGGAATCTGGTATATGTTAAGTACTCAATTGGTGTTATCTATGATGACTTCTTTATGATACTTTAATTCTCAGAGGGTAATTTTATAGTTTTAAGTTTATTTTTAAAGGAGAGATCTGAAATAAAGTGCCCTATGGTTTGGTGTGCTATTTTTATGTTTAATGCTGGCTTTCTTTCATTGGAGTTACCTTGTTTTCAAATTCTTCTTTAGTTAAAGCTCTTTTCTAAGCAAAGTCTTCCAGAGTGTTTTAAAATTAGGCCTTCAGGCATATCCATAACATGAAATCAACTAGATTAAAGTTTGGTTTCAACATTCATTTATATGTTCATTAACCAATAATAAATGCTTATCATGTATCAGCCACTGTTCTAGGTATGAGAAATACACTAATGAACTATACAGAAAAGACCTTACTCTCTTATAGTCATGTGTATGAGAGAGAGGTGGGTGAGAACAAACAAGGAAATAAATGAACACAAATTTTAGAAGTTAGTGCTATAAAGGAACAGAGTGTATGGTAGCGAGTGATTAGGGAGGCCAGTTTAGATTGGGCACTCAGGAGGACCTCCACGGAGATAAGATTTGAGCTGAAACTGGAATGATGAGAAGATAGCAGCCATGGTATTTCTGGAGAGCAAAGACTCCAGGAAGAGGGACCAGTTATGAAAAGTACCTGAGGCAAGAGTGAGTTTGGCACATGTGAAGAACAGAAGGTAGAGTGAGCAAGAGGAAGATAAAGGGAATGAGGTTACAGAGGCAGGTAGGGGCTACATTTAAGTCAACATAGACCATGATAAAAAGTTTAGATTTTATATTAGATACGATGAGAAACCATTGGATTTTAAAGAGAGAAGAGATATAATCAGATTTACATTTAAGAAGCCCTCTTCGAAATAAGTCAGTTGGGGAGAAAGATAAATATCACATGATCTCACTCACTTGTGGAATATAATGAACAACATAAACTGATGAACAAAAACAGATCCAGAGACAGAGAAGCATCGATCAGATTGTCAAACCTCAGAGGGAAGGCAGGGGAGGGTGGGGATAAGGGGGAGAGATCAACCAAAGGACTTGTATGCATGCATATAAGCATAAACAATGGACACAGACACCAGGGGGGTGAGGGCAATGGAGGGGATAAGGACACATATGTAATACCTTAATCAATAGAGAGAAAGAAAAAAAAAAGAAGCCCTCTTTGGTAGCTAGGTGGAAATGGTTTTATAAGAGCCTAAGAGTGGAATTAGCTCAATTTGGATGGCTCTTGCAGTTGTAAGAGAGAAGAATGGCTTTCCTTGCATAGAAGCAGTGAAATGGAATAGATTCAAACTCATGGACTGCTAATGGGTTAGAGGGTGGGTGCAAATTGGATTTTGCTAACAAGACAATATTTTAGATAAATGATGGTATGACCTACCCATGTTCAAGATGGGGCAAGAGATCTAGTTTCAGGAATAAAAACATGAAAATTAAAATTCCATAAATATCAGCCCACTCCCTCCCTACCCTGATGCATTCCAACCAGTTCTGTTGCCCTGCCACCAGCACTAGGCTGTCCCACAACCGATTTCTCAGTTAACGCTGCACAGAGGCACCCCAGCTTCAGAGGATTTTGGAAGCCCTTCTGCTTTCCTAGCCCTGTGCCCTTCTCCCTGGTGCAGACAGTTTCTGCTCAAAGGGACTAACTTTTTCTAATTCAGAGTGCTACTTCCAGGGACTGGGCCCTCGAATCTACTCGTTTATTGATCTTTTTCTGGAGATATTCTATCTGAGAAAAGATATATAGCATACCATTTTGTGAGCCATTTATAAGGTATTAAAACTGAAATATAAATTTTATGTTTTATCTCCTGTCTTCTCTCTGCTGAATTTTCCTAACAAGCACCATGAGATATTTGTATCATTTTAAATTCTTGGAACTTTCCTCTGGTCTCTGTTTGTTAAGTTGAAGAAAACCCAACAAAAAGATACGTAAAATTAGCAACTCATATTTATTAAGCAATTTTTTTATGCGCCTGGCACCGTGCTTTACACACATTATGTCACTAATCCAACAGCCCTCTGAAGTAGGTACTATCACCCCCCGTTTTACAGATGAAGAAATGGAGCCCCAGAGAGCTCAAGTGACTTGGCTAAGTTCACAGCTCATTTATGGCAGAGCTGGAACTCAGCTCAGAGGTTCTAGCTCCCTATGTTTGTGTTCTCTCGTATCCATGTACATGGTTTCATCTTCTTTATCTTTGTCTCCTTGTCTTCCAGGTAGATGGGAAGTTGCTTTGCTGGCTGTGCACACTCTCATACAAACGGGTCCTTCAGAAGACCAAAGAGCAGAGGAAGCACCTGAGCAGCTCTTCCCGCGCCAGCCACCAGGAGAAGGAGCAGTACAGTCGACTGAGTAGTGGCAGCCATTATAACAGGTAACCCCCTGATGCATAAGATAGGCCTAGAGGTGCTGATAGGTCAGATGTAATGCGCACACAATTAGCCATAGAAGATATCATTATGTATACATTTTTCTTGTTTTTTTTTTTTCTCTCTCTCTAGTTACTAGCCTATGGAGGAATCTCCTTTGTCATATTTTACAATTCATACGTTTTCCAAGAGCCACAGAGACTTCTGTGAGGTGTCAGAATTTTCTGACTTGGTTTGTATTGTGTCTGAAGAGTTTGTGAACTTACTCCGCTTTCACATGTAATGTTCTCCTCACCCTTAGAGTGGATTATTTCCCTGGAAGATTGGTCCTTCCACTTTCTGAAGGATGCAGCTGTTTGGCCAGGAGGTTGATAGATGTTCTAGGTTTTTCCTGGTAGTGTTGTGAAGAGTTCTGGCTCTGGATTGAATCATGGCTTTTCCAGGTTCTCTACATGAAAACTTGGACAAGTTTTTCTTCTGTAAAATGAGATAAATAATAGCATTATTACATGGAGTTGTTATGAAGATAAATTATATAATTCATGCATAGTGATTAGTTTTATAACTGGCATTTAGGAAGCATTTGATACATTTTAGTTACTCCTGTTTATTATTACTAGTATGATTTTATTTATCCATCTAGCAAACATTAAGTACTCTTATGGGCCAGGGACTCTGCTAGGAATGCAGAGATGAATAAAAGAATCATGCTGCTCACCAAAAGTATGCAGTCTGGTAGGGAAGGCAGACCTGTAATCAAACCATTGCAGTATAGTTCTGTGGAAGCATGGAAACATTGATTCCACAGTGGAAACGTCAGATACAGGCCTGAGAGGCAGTGGTAAATGACTGCCTTGGGAAGGCTGGAGAAGAGCTGGTGTTGGAGCTTTATCTTAGGATGTCAGAATCCTCAGATAAGCAATGGGCAGAGGCGTTCTAGGCTGAGGGAATAGCATTTGCACAAAGACATAGAGGATGTGGGACTCTGGTGAATTGAAAATCCTTTTATGTTATTGGAGCTTAGGTTAGGAGCTGGGAAATGGGAGGAAAGGGCATTCTGCAGATCTGGTAAGGAGCGTGAACTGAATCATGGAGTCAATAAAAAAACTAACCCTGATTATTATGGAGAATGCATTAAAGGAAAAAAAGACTGGGGGCTACTTAAGTTTTTTTTTTTTGGTTTGTTTTTGTAAAGTCCAGGTGAGAGATGTTAATACAAGAACCTCACTGAGGCCCTGGTCACTGTGGCTCAGTTGGTTGAGCGTCCCATGCACCCAGTTTCCTGGTTCTCCTGCAGCCCCAATAGATGTCTGTCTGTCTGTCTGTCTTTCTCTCTCTTTCTTTTTCCCTCCCACCCTCCCTCCCTCCTCCCTTCCTCTCTCTCTAAAATCAATAAAAACATATATTTTTTTAAAAACAGAACACAGACTTCACTGAGGCAGTGGCTCCAAAGAGGCAGATTCAGGAAGATACTTTAGAGCAGGGGTGGGAAATGTCCAATCCCATCATTTGGTCTGGCCCTGCCAAGGCAAGAGGGGTGAGTTAATTAAATGTTTGACCAAATATAGCAAGCTAATTTTTAAGTTGATAATTTTGTATGGCCCACAAATGATGTTATAAATACCCAAATGGCCCTTGGCAGAAAAAAGGTTCCTCACCCCTGCTTTAGAGGGAGAATTAGATAATTTGATGAGCATACAGATGGGCAGGATCTGGGTGAGTAAAGGATAATTCTCAGGTTTCTTAGATTCTTAACTTACAGAGAGTATAGGAAGGGGAGAAGAGAAGTTCAGTTTTGAAAGTTGAATTTGTTGAAGCATCAAAAAGAATTATTTAGTGGGAATTTAGCCTAGAACTCAGAAGAGAGGTTTGGATATGGGCCATACACTTGTCAGTGAGACTAGAGGTTATTTAAAATACAGATTCCTGTGGTCCCACCCCAGGGTTTAATTTAGTAGCATCTAGGATAGAATCCAGGAATCTGCATTGTTTTATAAATATCCCAGATGATTCTGCTGTACGTGATCTGAGGAACACTGTTTCCAACTATTATGATAGGTAGTTTTTGATATAACTCATGTTGGAGGCTGAGAACAGAACTCTAGAAGCATTCAAGAAGGATGGACTGAATATATTTGATATCCAAAATATATAAACATACAACTCAGTAGCCAAGAAGAAAAAAAAAGAATACAATTTAAAAATGGATAAAGGACCGGATAGACATTTTCTCAATGAAGACATATAAATGGCCAATAGATACATGAAAAAGTGCTAAATCACTAATTGTCAGGGGAGTGCAAATCGAAACCACAATGAGATAGCACCTCACACCTGTTAGGATGGTTGTTATAAAAAATACAAGAGATAACAAATGTTGGTCTGATTGTAGAGAAATGGGAACCTTATACACTGTTAGTGGGAATGTAAATTGGTACAGCCACTGTGGCAAGAAATATGGTAGTTCCTCAAAAAATTGAAAATAGAACTACCATATGATCCAGCAGTCATTTCTGGGTACATATCCAAAGGAGATAAAATCAGTATCTCAGAGAGATACCTGCATCTCCGATTCATTGCAGCATTTTACACAATAGCAAAGATATCCAAACAACTTCAATGTTTTTCAACAGATGAGTGGATAAAGAAAATGTGGTATATTTATGGAACATTATCTATATACTAGAGGCCCAGGGCACGAAATTCGTGCACTTGGCGGGGGAGGGGCATCCCTCAGCCCGGCCTGCGCCCTCTCCCAGTCTGGGACCCCTCAGGGGATATCTGCCTGCCGGCTTAGGCCCGATCCCCCCGGGGATCAGGCGTAAGCCAGCAGCCAGACATCTCTCTCGCAGTCTGGGGCTCTCACAGTCCAGGACCCCTCTTTCCTTACCGCCCGCCTGCAGCAGAGATGGGAGAGGCTCCCACCACCGCCGTTGGCGCTTGCCAGCCATGAGCCTGGCTTCTGGCTGAGCGGTGCTCCCCCTGTGGGAGTGCACTGACCACCAGGGGGCAGGTCCTGCATTGAGTATCTGCCCCCTGGTGGTCAGTGCGCATCATAGCGACCACTCATTCTGCCATTCGGTCAATTTGCATATTAGGGTTTTATTACATAGGATATAAAAGTCAAGCGACCTACCGGAATGACGGAATGACTGGAACAACTGGAATGACCGGAATGACCAGTCGCTATGATGTGCACTGTCAGGGGACCAACCAGCCTGATCAGGGGCCCCAATCAGCCCCTCTCAACCTCCCATGGCCCCTCCCCCTGCCGGCACCGCCCTAGTCGGCCCCCCCACCCCAATTGGGGGTGGTGCCTGCTGACCAACCTCCCACAGGCCCCCCCCCGCCCCCCGCAGGCCTGGCCCCTACCCGTGCACAAATTTGTGCACCAGGCCTCTAGTTCAGCCATAAAAAGGAAAGAAATCCTGCCATTTGTGAGACCATGGATGAACCTGGAAGGCATTGTGCTAAGTGAAAAAAGAGAAAGACAAAGGAAGTGTGGTATCACTTTATGTGGAATCTTTTATTAAAAACCAATTTCATAGAAACAGAAACAGTTTCTGCAAAGTGGAATGGTGTTTGCTAGGCGCTGGAGGAGTGGGAAATGAGATATAGGTCAAAGGGTGCAAACTTTTAGTTATAAGAAGAATAAGTTCTGAGGATCTAATACATAGCAGTGACTATAATTAATATGGTATTATACACTTGAAAGTTGCTGAAAGTAGATCTTAAGCATTTTCATCATAAAAAAAATAAAGTTAACAATATGAGGTTATGGATGTATTAATTATCTTGACCTTGGTAATCATTCCATAATGTATATGTATATCAAAACGTCACATTGTACATTTTACATATATACAATTACATTTGTCAGTTATTCCTTAATAAAGGTGGGGGGATAAAAGTATGGCATGGTCAGTGGTGTCAGATATTGGAAAGAGATCAAGTGAGAAAGGGTCTAAAGTATCCTTTAAGCTTAGCAATTGTGGACAACTGTTAAAGCAAAAGGGTTGCAAACCAGTTTTAGAGGATGAACTTATTACTTATAGCTAAAACTGATTTTTAGCATTATTGTGGGACTCAAGACACCAGTAGATTCACAGAGACATAATGAAGAAAAACGAGTTCAAATATGTCAACCTGGTGTCTAGTCCCAGCTTTACTATTAACTAGCTGTATTCTTAGGTAGCTCATTAATATTGATGAGCCTCAGTTTCTGCAAAGTAGGAGTAATATCTTGTATATACCTCCCAGCATATGAAACATTGAATGTAGAAGTACTTTTTAAACTGTAAGATAGATTTATACTTCTTATTAAAGTTTTATTGACTGTTCTCCGTAATTAATAAGGCAGGTATTAATTTTATATTTAATTGAGGCTAAGAATTTTGGGGGCCTATGGAAACCAACCACCCATACATCCAGAACCTATGAAATCAACACCTTGGTGAATTTTGATAATCAAGAATAAATAGCTCTTGCAAAGAAGAGCTATATTATTATTGGTCCCATTTGACACTTTCATTGTGATATTTTATTATTTTTTGATTTCTAACGTGTATCTCTCTGTTTTTGCCATTAAAAGCCAGAAAACACTTTCTACGTCTTCAATTCAAAATGAAATCCCAAAGAAAAAGTCCAAGTTTGAGTCAATCACAACCAATGGAGACAGGTGAGCCAATTGGAGTGTGTGTGCATGCTTCCATTTGAAATGCATACACAGTTCCTGAAACAGGAATATATTTTAGGGTGTGCTTGGAGCTAATGTATGGTTTTCAGTGAACCTCTTAGGGTCACTACACCAGCCACTTGATATTTTATAAATAAGCAGTACTGATATTTATTTATAAATCTAACCTTGTTATTAAGTAATAGGCAGGAACATATAACTGGATTTAATAGTTAAATTCTGCAACCCACAAATAACTCACCACACTAATTCTAAGACGTCACCAGCGGGATGCCTTTCATTATGATCTGTGCCTATGGCCTCCACCAGGCAGGATAGGAGACAGTCTTGAGAGGCAGAGCAGAGACAAGTTGGAGTTAAGGTAGTGTTATTCAGTCTAAGGGATGATCCATGCTTCCTTAGCCTACAGAGAGACAGTGCAATGCAGATGCTAGATCAGGAGAGAAGGGGATGCATTTAAATATTTTTGTTTCATTTTAAGCCTGTCTAAATGTATATTTTTATGCCTTTCATCCCTCCTCAACGATGCTTTCTTTTACAAGCTGCACTGTCCTAATACCTAGAGCAGTGATGGCGAACCTTTTGAGCTCGGCGTGTCAGCATTTTGAAAAACCCTAACTTAACTCTGGTGCCGTGTCACATATAGAAATTTTTTGATATATGCAACCATAGTAAAACAAAGGCTTATGTTTTTGATATTTATTTTATATATTTAAATGCCATTTAACAAAGAAAAATCAACCAAAAAAATGAGTTCGAGTGTCACCTCTGACACGCGTGTCATAGGTTCGCCATCACTGACCTAGAGTGTCCCATCTGTGTTGGTGCAGTGGATTGCTTCCCAACAGAGTATTAGACCCAACCATTTTTTTTTGTTTCTCCATGAGCCCAGCATCCTGAAGTGTTACCAACTAATATACTGTTCCCTGAATCCTTGAAATTATTTCCATTCTCGTCCCAATCTCAGTTCTCCCTTCCAGCCAGTGGTGAATTTGGGAACAGACCAGCATATAGGATTATCAGGGCTAATTTTGCTTATTTAATGGGGTACAAAGTGTCTGTGAAGTTTACTCTTTCTTATTACCTCTGCAAGGTGTCTTTTTAACAACTAGCATCATTGATTTTAAACTTCTCAGATAGTGTTAGTGGGAGGAATCTGTTGAAAACTCATGTTGAGATTGACTTGGGAGTTTGCCACTTCTTTGTTCCTTTCCTAACTAAATGTCCAGAATCATGCCCTGGCCAGGTGGCTTGGTTGCTTGGAACATCATCCCAATGTCCTGAGATTGTGGGTTCGATCCCTGGTTGGAGCACATGCAGGAACCAACCAATGAATGCATGAATAAGTGGAACAACAACAAAAGTCACAGAATTCTTGATATTGGAAGTGTCAGTTAACCCACCAGTTGTAGTGTAGGGAAAATTGGCTTCCTTCCTATTAAATTCATCTTCTTTTTATCATTTTTTAAAAGGACTGACTGTTCATTCCTGGGATGGAATGCAGCAGCTTCTTAGCAGCTGTACCACATCACAGTGCTTTGGGGCAGAAAACAGAGAATCAAAAGAGGAGCTCTCTGGGAAGCATTAAAGAAAAATGCATGTGCTTAAACTTCTTGATCATTGGTCCAGATTCTAGGGAAATTATCTAATCACAAAAAAATGATGACTTTCACCCATAAATAATTGGGGCTCCTCAGTGAACCTGAAACAGAATAGGTTGGCTCTTGTGAAATGGCATTTATTTTAGTCCTGAATGTGAGAGGAAATGCTGCAGGAATGCTGCGGGTTGTAGCTTGGCTATCTGATGATCACCTTGCCTGCGCAGTTTAGCAAATGCTGGTGAGTCTGGTGTGTGTGGACATTGTGCTTAATGCTGGGAATTCAGGTAGTGGCTCCTCCCTTGAGCTTGCAGTCAGTGGCCTACAGTGTCCTCAGGTAGAAAAAAAAATTGCTGAGCATTTACCTCAGTCTGTTGGGACCTTGCTTCTAGGTGTATCTTCAGTTTGACTCAAACTCATAAAAATTAAGAGGGGGAAAAAGAAAAAAGTTTATCCATCCAAGTTATTTTTTTCTATCCATTTTTCTACTCAGCTTTTCCCCAGACCTGGCTCTGGACTCACCAGGCACTGACCACTTTGTCATCATTGCCCAACTGAAGGAAGAAGTGGCCACTCTAAAGAAGATGCTGCATCAAAAAGATCAAATGATTTTAGAGAAGGAGAAGAAGGTATGATTTAATTAGTGCCTCTCAGGCCAGAATGATGACAGGGTAAGCTATGTGGACTAGGGCACGATGCTAACTCTATTTAACTGTTATCAGTTGGGTACTTAACATGGATGCTTTGAGAGAGATCCAGTGGCAAGGTTGGGATATCCTGGGGAGAGGTTTGTTGTCTGCCAAGGTAACTCATGGCATGGTATCACTGTAATGGATCCACCTCATTCAAGTGGGTTTAGAAAGTTGATTTTCTCAGCATTTGGAGGGAGCCTCCATTTCTCAGGGAGAACTTGTGTTAACCAGACTTCCAGAGAAAATGTATAAAACCACAGTGCTTCCTCTTAATTTACAATACAGCATGTAACTGGATATTATTTTTCTCAGTATGAGCTTCCTTGGAAGATTGTAGTGAGAAAGTGCTAAATGAACATGGAATTGGGATAGGAGGAGGTAGTTATGTAATTGGAATTTTTAATGCTCTCAGGCTAAGAGAACCTGATGCCTCCATCTCTGTTATTGGGATGGCATGTCCGTGGGACAGTAATACTCAAAATATGTGGGCGAGGTCTCCCTTCTCCCTGGACAGTGTTCAGGTAGGCCTTCCTTTATGACTCTTGTGTCACTTTGCTTCCATTGCTGACAACCCCCTTCCTGAGTGACCCACTTTTTAAACACACTGTGCTCGCTTTGGCAGCACATATACTAAAATTGGAACGATACAGAGAAGATTTGCATGGCCCTGTGCAAGGATGACACGCATATTCATGAAGCGTTCCATATTTGAGAAAAACAAAACGTTAATATCTTCAGTAAAGTCTTATTCTGTTGTCCTATGAGTCATCCTTCCACTTTAAGGGGACTTTTTCCATCCTTGTTCTGATTTGTGTCTAGTATTTCTTATTTTCACATTCGTAGAGAGTATCTAATTTTTGCCTTAATATATTAATGAAAATAATAGTAGCTAACTTCTGTTGGATGCTTACTATGGGCCTGACTCTATTCTAAGTACTTCATATATATTAACTGATGTATCTTCATAACAACCCTTTAAGGTAGGAATTATTATTATCATCTTATTTTTTTAATGAAGACTTTTAAAATTTTCATTTATTGATTTGAGAGACAGAAAGAGAAGTATTGATTTGTTGTTCCACTTATTGTTGTTCCATTTAATGGTTGATTCTTGTGTGTACCCTGACAGGGGATCAAACCTGCAGCCTTGGCTAATTAGGCTGACACTCTAACCAACTGAGCTACCCGGCCAGGGCTATTATCATTATCATTTTATAGATGAAGAGTGCCTCCAATATTTTTTCTCTTAGGGTTCCAATTCCTTCAACTAGCTGTTTTTCTCCTGAGCCTGTATGTTATCTTGTGCCGGGTTTGGAATGCTGTTACTCATTCCAGGAGCTAACACAGACATAACATTAAAACCTTCACATGCAGTCTTTCAATCTAATTTCTACCTCATTTTACAGATGAGAAAATGGACCTAAAGAAAGTAAATGATGTGTCCAATTCACATAACTAAGTAAATGGCAGAGCAAAGGAATGAACTCAAGCCATTACCACTATACCGTTCTTTCTACTGCGCTGTGCTTTCTTCTTCCAGTAAGATGGAGATTCATGGGAGAAACCAATATTCTCCCACTTTACCACATGACTGTCAGATGAAAGTAGACTCAAGTATATTTTCTTCATGGACTAGTCAGAATGGCACATAAAAGGGTTTTTGCAAAATAGAGACAAAATGAACACTTGTTTCTACTGCTTTGCAAAGTTAGGGTTTAAAAGGAGCAAAAAACAAATAGTAGCTTGTTCCCTAAAACTTTCAGGATCAAGGTCACACTCCTTGGCTTGGAATGCAGGCTCTTTCATGTCCTGCCTCCCTATCTCTAGCCTCATCTCCTGTCATTCCCCATGCACATCAGTCATTAGAACAAGCTCTCAGTTATCTCACTCTCTCTGCCTATGCCCTTGCTGTACCCTTTGCTTAGGTACCCTTCTCCTTTCCTCATGTTCCAGTTGCTGCTTACACCTCAAAACGCATCTTACACCTGATTTATCTGATTTAAGTAGCTTTTCTCTGTGCTTCTTGAATGGCATAGTCAACAGAAGGAGGCCTGGGGTTTGAATTTTAGCTCTGTTACTTGCTAGCCTATATGATCTTGGCTATGTTACCTAGCCCTTTCTAAGCCTTAGTTTTCCCATCTATAAGACGGGAAGAAGAGTATTACTCCCCACAAGGTTATCATAGTATTGAATGAAGTAATTCATCAGTTTATTGGAGCAGGGTAAAAATTCAGTACACAGAAGCAGCTATTATTCTCATGGATATTCTCAAATCATCAGTCAGCCTGGCCAGTGTGGTTCGGTGGTTGAGCATGGACCCAAGAACCAAGAGTTCACTGGTTCCATTCATGGTCCGGGCACATGCCTGGGTTGCGGACTTGATCCCCAGTATGGGGGGATGCAGGAGGCAGCCAGTCGATGTCTTTCTCTCGAAGTTTCTATCTATCCCTCTCCCTCCCTCCCTCTCTAAAATCAGTGAAAACATATTTTAAGAAAAAGCGTCAGTCAAAGTGTATTATAATCACTAATTTTTTTGGAGGTATACATGAAATTTTTCAAACCTACTAGTGGTTAAGTGTCAGAAATGCTACTACAGGATTTTGTGTCATTTTCAGGAAATGTTTAGAAAAATAGGATATGGAATTCTCTGGCTTTGATTAGGTATGGATCTTCAGGAAAGCCCTGGACTTTATTAATTTGGGGCACTATTTAGTTCTCTGGTAATGAAACATTTTTTATTGCACAGAAATTTATTCTGGTTACTTTGCCTTTTTCCTCAGATCACAGAGTTGAAGGCTGATTTTCAATACCAAGAATCTCAGATGAGAGCCAAAATGAACCAAATGGAGAAAACCCACAAAGAAGTCACAGAACAATTGCAGGTGATGACTGCTCATTTTATGTAGTAACTCGTGTGTTTAATTGATTACATTTTAAGTGATCATCTCTTAGATTTATTTTTTTTCCAAGTATTGACAAGTCTAATCCACCTTATACATGTCTTCTATTGTTTCATTCTTAGATGTGTTCTGATCTTTCCCCCTCAAAAACAGAGGAATTAATAAATATTTTCTTTGAATTTGGGATAAAATAGATGTGATTCCAAATTTCTGAATTATAAATTCTGTTTATCCAGCACATTAGGGCACTCCATGGTTTGTTTGTGTTGCATAAAACATCCTTTTGTAACGGTGGATCCCAGGAGATTGAAGTATATTGATTAACCTCCAGCAAATATCTTCTTTCCCCCAAATATAGCTCTAGAGCTTGCTGTTGTTTTCTCTAAAATATGTTCATCTCTTACCCTAGCCGGTTTGGCTCACTGGATAGAGCGTCGGCCTTCGAACTGAAAGGTCCCAGGTTCGATTCCGGTCAAGGGCACATGCCTGGGTTGTGGGCTCAATCCCCGGTGGGGGACTTGCAGGAGGCAGCCGATCCATGATTCTCTCTCATCATTGATGTTTCTATCTCTCTCTCTCCCTCTTCCTTCCTCTCTGAAGTCAATAAAATATTTAAAAAATAATAAAATATGTTCATCTCTTTCTAACCTTCTATATCTGCCTGCATCTGCATGAAAAATGTATCCTATCCTGTTAAAATATCCTTCTTACCCTGTTTTTTGTTTGTTTGTTTAAGGCCAAAAACAGAGAGCTTCTGAAACAAGCAGCTGCCTTGTCCAAGAGCAAGAAGTTGGAGAAGTCAGGAGCTATAACCTCTCCGTGAGAGACCACAAGGAGGTTCGCCAGCAACAGCAAATGGATTCCTGGGTTAGGGTTGGCGAGTTGGGAACTGCAAGTTTTCTTAAGAAATCTCTATTTTATTACAGTTAACCTTTGTGTGATTGCAGTGGGCTGAATGGAAACACCTGTTTTTCACTGTGTTATGACTGCATGCTTGAATGTTTGGAGTTTCAGGCTCTTTTTCTCTCACTCTCACTCTCACTCTCCCAATCCTCTCTCCTCCCTTTCCCCCACCTTCTCACAGTACTACTAGCTCTGTCTCTCTCTGTACTGCTTTTTTCTTCTTCTTTTTTATGGTGGTTACTGCTCAGTGTTATGTGCAGAATGATTTTTTTGTCCATTGTTGAATCCTGCAATACCCATGAACAAATAGTTTGGCATTAATTTCCTATCACTGCCACCCTCTGAACTTTGAAAACTGCCACCTTAAGACTTGGTATAATGGACAAAGCTTTCTCTCTCCAATAAACCTTTTGCTTCAGGGTATACCCTTGGGTTTATTTCCAGGTATATTACGTATGAACTTTGTACTATGTATAGCCAGAATTTTATTTATTTAAAAAAAAAAGAATTTTTCTTGGCAAAGGAATAATGGTAGCCTAGCTTGTTCTTCTTGTAAAAGTGATGCCTCTTTTTTAAAAAAATCCTACTCTAGCTTTTAGTAAAAGAATCAAATCTTTTCTTTCTTGTTATCTTGGAGTCTTAAAAACTGATTGTTAAGGTGAAACAATTCAGTGCATAAGTATGGAGTTAAGTGCCTTTTGGAGGATTTCTTGGAAGAGCATTTAAGAAGATACTTAGGGTGGTAGCAGAGATTTGAATGGTCTGTCTTTGTAAGTAAGGGCAGAAAGAAAGGTTGTCCAGGTTGTACTGGACACTTCCCTCCCCCACCCCTTTCCTGATTGTTTTTATGTGACTGTTTTAAATTCTCACACTGCCACTTCTTTTAACAAAAAACCAAAAACCCTTACTTGCTTAGATCAGTTGTCATACTTGGCCATTGTCAGAGAAGATTTTTTTTACATGAGCAGATTCAAAATGGGATAATATTTAAACTACAGAGCTTTTGGGGGTCAGTACAGCTGCTCAAGTATGAACTCTGAGTCTGGTTGAAAGAAATGATATCACTGTAACTTCTCCCCTCCTCACCTTCTCCAGCCTGTATACTCCCTGTTTTTAACATAAATGCATTGAAAACAGGTGCTGTTCTCAGAAGCAGCTTGGTCTTAGCCAGAATTGTTCATGTCTATTCTCTCTTCTTGACCCAATAAGCAGGCACATGGTTTTACTTTTCTAGGAGAGGGGATAAGTTTGCATTTCTAGCCTTACTCTCAGGTCCTCTATATGATGTTTGTGAAAGAAATTAGAGACATGTAGTGTGCCATGATACAGTATAACCAACTATCTTGGAATCATTAACGCAGGGGGGTACTTGAGTTAGAGGAAATCATGAGGGCAGAGGACATTTGTACCTCAGGCTACCAATATTGTAGCAGGAAGTTTAACTTACTAGGCATTTCCTAGAAGCGAACACTTACCAGTGTGATAGCATTCTCACAAGTGGACCCAGGCATGTAAGGGGCAGATGTGGGAATGGGAGGCTTCCTTCTGATGAGAGAAACAATAGGCCATGCTGTTTCTATGTCACTCTAGGAAGGGTGGTAATGTTTCCTTCCAAGCAAGGGAAAAGGCAGTGCTAAATAGTTTTATAACTTTTTGAATGAGAAACTTTTAGGTAAAGACAAACTGTCAGATAATATTTTTCAAATGCACATATGTTGACTGTGGGGAAAAGATTGTAAAAAAAAAGTTACAGTCATGGTTTTTGTTTAATTTTAAAGACTTGAGAAATTCTGTTACATGAAGTGACAATATAAAAGCATATTTTATACTAAATCTTTTTTTAAGATCTTGGCACTTATATAAAGCAAATTCACGCATTTTCTAACTTTCTACAAGTTCTAAAAAGGGAAGGAAGAAACCTCAGTCTTGCAATTTTGGTTTTTAAAAATCATGACACTGTTTTACCATGAAATTGAGTAGCTAACTTTTGGTAACATCTTTTGTTTATTTGTATGTTTGTGATAATGGACATTTTAAAACAGGAATGTTTTGGTTTGTACAGACTTTGACAAATGTGCGTTAATAAAAATTCATATTGAGTCAAGTATAATCATTGGTGTGGTTTTTTTCTCATTTATTTTTTGCTGGTTCACCAGTAAATCCTATTATTCCCTTCAACTTAGAAAACAGTCAGTTTTGACTGGTGGCTGTGGCACAGCAGTTGAGGACCTAGGAACCAAATGGTTGCCATTTGATTCCCTTTCAATTACCAGTCAGAGCACCATGCCCTGGTTGTGGGCTTGATCCCCAGTAGGCAGCCCATCTCCATGATGTTCCTCTCTCATCGATGTTTCTATCTATTCCTCTCCCTCCCCTCTCTCTAAAAACCAATAAAAAAAACCATATATAGCCCTAGCTAGTTTGGCTCAGCAGATAGAGCATCCACTTGTGGACCAAAGGGTCCCGGGTTTGATTCCAGTCAAGGGCACATACCTTGGTTGCAGGCTCCTCCCTAGCCTGGGCCCTGGTCAGGGCTTGTGCAGGAGGCAACCAATCGATGTGCTGCTTTCACATTGATGTTTCTGTCTTTCCCTAAAAATCAATGGAAAAATGTCCTCAGGTGAGGATTAACACACACACACACACACACACACACACCCATATGTAAAAAAAAGAAAACATTGCCGAAGCTGGTTTGGCTCAGTGGATAGAGCGTCGGCCTGCGGACTGAGGGGTCCCAGGTTCGATTCCGGTCAGGGGCATGTACCTTGTTGGCGGGCACATTCCCAGTGGGGGGTGTGCAGGAGGCAGCTGATCGATGTTTCTAACTCTCTATCTCTCTCCCTTCCTCTCTGTAAAAAAGTAATAAAATATACTAAAAAAAAGAAAACAGTTTGTCTTGCTTGTCAACCTAAAAAATTTGAAGTCTGCCCTGTCCAGTGTGGTTCAGTTGGTTGAGCATCATCCCACACACTGAGGGGTTGCTGGTTCAATTTCTGGTCAGGGCACATGTTTGGGTTGCAGTGGGCAGCTTCTCATCGATGTTTCTCTCTTACTCTCCTTTTCTCTCTCTCTCTAAAAAATATATTTTAAAACAAATTTAAAAGCCTAACTATGCTACTAGAGAGTTTCATGTCCATCAGAGAATAGCTCATTCTTTCTTTTGTGACTTTATTTATCCAGTTGAAGTGCTTGCTTTGTTATAAGCACTGTGCTAGGCAGTGAGTATACAGCAGTGAAGAACATCCACAAAGTTACTGACCTCATGTGGCTTCCATTTAAGTGGGATATTGCACAACACCATTGTTCCTTGATTTTATATTTTATCATTATTATTCAAAATATAATATAGGAGGAACTTAAGGTATGAGTGAAAGGTTTTTGAGATACCATCTTAAGAAGAATGTGTTAGTTTGAAACCTTGCTGTTAGTTTAATAACAGGTACCTTTCAGGTATTATCACTTACATCCTAATTCTATTTTATAGACTCCATCCATGACAACTTATTTTCTCTAAATAAGTTTAAGATAGTCTTATTTTGTAGGTGCTATGGTCTGAATGTGTTCTCCCCAAAATTCATGTCAAAATCCTAACCCAAACATGCTAGTATTAGGAGGTGGGGGTGCATAGGCTCTGCCTTCATGAACGGAATTAGTGCCTTTATGAAGGAGGCTCCAGAGAGAGATTCCTTTGAAGCTCTATTACGTGAGGCCACAGCCAGGAGGAGCTGGCTGTAAACTGAAAAGAGGGCCCTTATTATAAAGCAACCATGCTAGCATCTTGATCCTGGACTTCCCAGCCTCCAGAACTGGAAGAAATTTCTGTTGTTTATAAGCTACTCAGTCTGTGATTTTTGTTATAGCAGCCCAAACAGACTAAGACTGTAGGCTATGTTTATGACCACCTTTATTGTGTAAATCATCTTAATTTATACATTACTCAGCCTTACACATTTATTTAGCAATAAAAAAAGACCAAATCCCTGACCAGTGTGGTTCAATTGGCTGGAGTATCGTCTCATGTACCAAAGGGTCATGGGTTCCATTCCCAGTCAGGGCACATACCCAGGTTGCCATTTGATCCCCAGTTGGGGCACGTGCAGGAGGCAACCAACCAATCTCTCTCTTTTTCTTCTTCTACCTTCTTCTCTCTCTCAAATAAATACATACATGCACATATCCTGGAGGATTAAATGTCATACAGCTACTGATAAATGCAACATTATAGATAAATCTCAAAAACATGTAAATTGAAACAAGCCAAACTCTGAAGAGTACATGAAATATGATTGCATCACTGTGAAGTCCAAGAACGGGCAAAACTAATGTGTAAGATAAAAATAAAAAAGTGATTTCTGGGGGTAAGTGGAATTGATTAGAAAGGAGTGTAGCTCAAAAAAACTTTCTGGGGTGATGATGAAAATTTTCTATATCTTGGTTTGGGTGGCGGTAACATGGGTATATACAAGTGTCAAAACTCTCTGAACACTTAATATCTGTGCATTCTATTGTATGTCAATTATAACAACAGTTAATACAGAAAAGTACTGCTTAATCCTAAAAATCGCTATTTTGAACATTCCTATACTTGGTTTTTGAAACACATATGCGTTGACTTTATAGTTAGGTGTAGAATTGCGGAGCCATAGAATATGTATGAATCAGCTCTGCAACATAATAGCTGTATGACATTGGGCAAGTACCTAGAACCTCTAGAGAGAACCAGTTTCCTTATCTGTAACCAAGGAGCTAATCTCATCTTGATGGGTGCCAACCATGAAAACTGTTTTTATCAATTAACAAAAGGACATAATGCTGAGAAACTTATCCTTTAAAATCACAGAGTTCAAGAAAACTGGCAAATTGAAATATCAGGCAGAATGGAACATTCTTGCTTGGAGGATCTGAGTTATTTTGACACAGAGAAGCAGCCTCAATTTCCAACCTGGGTGCAAAGCTTCAGATAAGGGGTTTCCAGATACAACATTCCATATTTATCTTCACCTTGTAGTTTCCAAGGAAACAGATCTCTGAGTCCTCTTATCAGCTCAGGCCTGATGAGAATATCTTTACAAATAGCCTGGTGTGCTTTGAGGCTATACTGAAACAATTCTTTTAAATTTTACCTACACTCCATTTCCCCCCCGCAAATCCTAGAATAACTATCTCTTCCTGTGCTTGATGTGATGCTCCGAGATTCCTCTGGTGTGCAGTCTCCCTTACAGCATTAAGTTAATAAACCTAACTTTGTCAGACCACACGTGGTCTTTATCTCATGGGCTTTATCTTGGGGATTACTGATAAATGTTTGTAAAATTTGTTCACGTCACCTGAGTAAGCATTTAAGAAACTGTGATTATTTTTTATTATTCATGCATAAATTCGGTATATGTTCATTTGACATCTAGTATTTGCAAGGTAAAAATGTATTGCTATGAAAGAATACACAAGGCTCTGGCCAGGGAGCTCAGTTGGTTAGAGCATCAATCACACTGAGAAGAAAAGGTTGCAGATGAAAGAAGCAACTTTCTCTTCCATTCTCTCTAAAAATCAAGTCAAATAAAAAGTGGCTATCCATCTGTGTCCTGTGCTATCCGTTCTTTTCTTTTTCAAAATTTGATTTTAAAGAGAAAGAGAGGAAGGGAGGCAGAGAGAGAAACATTGATTTGGTGTTCCACTTACTTATGCATTCATTGGTTGCTTCTTGTATGTGCCCTGACTCGGGGTCAAACTTACAGCCTCGGTGTATGGGGACGATCCTCTAACCAACTGAGCTACTCAGCCAGGGCAATAACCACTTTTTATTTTATTTTTTGTTAATCCTCACCTGGGGATATTTTTCCATTGATTTGAGAGAGAGTGGAAGGGAGGGAGAGAGACACACAGTGAGAAACATTGATGTGTCTGTGAAAGAGACAGACACAATGACTGACTGCTTCCCACATGCACTTCAAACACTCCAACCGGGGCCCAGGCCGGGGATTGAGCCTGCAACTGAGGCATGTGCCCTTGACTGGAATCGAACCCAAGACCCTTCAGTCTGCAGGCCGATGCTCTATCCACTGAGCCAAACCAGCTAGGGCTCCCTTTTACTTTTAGATGGAGAAAGAAAACAATAACAGCAACTACAGTGTCTTCCATTGCTACGAGAAAAATACCTTTATTACTTCACTTTACAGAGTAAAATGTAAATGAAAACATTCTAAAGACTCTTTTACAGTTTTAAAAAAGTACGGTTTACTATAAGATGACATAAAACCATGGATTCTAGAAAATGGTAGGGCTTTAACCAGAGTGAGAGCCCCCAAATGTTATTTGTCTCTTTATAGAGAAAGAAATGCTCTTATAAATGTTCCAACAAAAATACAGATAACCCTAGCCGGTTTGGCTTAGTGGATAGAGCGTGGGCCTGTGGACTGAAGGGTTCCGGGTTTGATTCCAGGCAAGAACACATGCCCGGGTTGTGAGCTTGCGCTCCGGTAGGGAGCGTGCAGGAGGCAGCCGATCAATGATTCTCATCATTGATGTTTTTATCTCTCTCACTCTCTCCCCTCCTCTCCGAAATCAATAAAAATATATTTAAAAAAATAGAGATAGACTAGCTTGCAAAAGCTCTAAGGCTGAATGCATTCACCCATTTGGGGTACCCTCCAGCAAGCAGCTTCCTCTCTTTACCATTCCCCAGAGATTGCAAAGCAGGCTGGGGTGGGGTGGGGTGAACACAGGAAATAAACACTACCAGTTCCCCTTCACTTCTCCCTATCTGGAGCTCCCTAGCCCAAATCCTACCCATGTCTTTCCATTTACCATAGCTCACAAAATGCCATCTTCTTTTTTTTTAAGTTTATTATTATTTATTATTGTATTATTTTCCATACAAACAACTGTAAACCTACTTTTGTCCCACCCTGTATAATGGTGATTCAGAGAGGGAGAGAGAGAAACATTAATGATGAGAGAGAATCATTGATCGGCTGCCTCTCACACACTGGGGATCGAGCCCACAACCCAGGCATGTGCCCTTGACCAGAATCAAACCTGAGACCCTTCAGTCCATAGAATGCCATCGTCTATGGGAAGAGGTCATACACTACAAATTACTTAAAGAAATGATTTTAAAATTTTGAGGGTCTAGTTCTCCAAGAAATCCTGGTTTGGGATACAGATGAAGAGGCTATTTGGATGAGATTTAGATGAAGAATGAATTTGGGAATATGAGAATGCGTTTTAGGAAAGTAGTGAGATGACAATGGAGTTAGCTTAGTGTTTGGGTTTTACAGTCAAATTAACCTCTGTGGTCTTAATTTTGTCAATTGTAAAAGGGAAAATAATGACGCTTACTTTGTTCAGTTACTTTACTTCAACATTTAAAAAATTAATTGTACATTATCTGTTCTGAAGGTGAAAATATAGTTAGAACATGGTCCCTTGCTGGGAAAGAGCTTATGAACAACTGAATTGCAGTGATGATTCACACATAGTATGTGCTCAATAAATATTATATTATTTTATAGTTTTGATTAGAAGAGGGGTGGAAGGAGAAATGAAAGTGGTTTGTAAACCGTAAAAGTACTCCAAATACTAACAAAGCCATAGAGGATGGAAGTAGAATGAGGAATTTCAGAAGTTTGGTTAAGGATCAGATTTTCAACGTTGTCTAATACTCCCATATTTGGGCCTGAATTCTCAGAATAGAACAGAAAAGGATGTTAGAGCTGAGATCATCTGGCACAATTTTATGCTAATCGAAAATTCTTGCCTGCTGTCACCGTGCTTTGCTGAGAAACAACACCGCACCCCCAGCTCCTCCAATCCCAGCTCCAACGATGTGACGTCATCGCCCCGCCAGTCAGGCCAGGCTCCGGCTCTTGGTTCTCAACCTTCCTAATGCCCAGACCCTTTAAGTTCCTCATGTTGTGGTGACCCTCAACCATAAAATTATTTTCGTTGCTACTTCATAACTGTAATTTTGCTACTGTTATGAATCGTAATGTAAATATCTGATATGCAGGATGTATTCTCATTGTTACAAACTGAACATAATTAAAGCATAGTGGTCAATCACAAAAACAATATGTAATTATATATGTGTTTTCGATGGTCTTAGGCGACCCCTGTGAAGGGTTGCTGGATCCCCAAAAGGGTCGGGACCCACAGGTTGAGAACCGCTGCAAGGGCACTGTCCCAGCCACGCAGGCGCATTGTGGGGCAGGGCGGGGCAGACGCATGCGCACTGCGTGGGGGTGGGGTAAGTGCGCACGCAGCCTCAGCCCCTTCCCCGCCCTTTCTCTTCCCGGTTTCCCAGTCAGCCTGCGGTCGGGCTTGGTGGCTGCTTCCGGTGGGACAGCGGTGCAGGGCGAGTCGGTCTCAGCTCCTCGTCATGTCCTACGGTCCCTTAGACATGTACCGGAACCCGGGGCCCTCGGGGCCCCCGCCTCGGGACTTCAGCAGCATCATCCAGACGTGCAGCGGCAATATTCAGCGGATCAGCCAAGCCAGTGAGCAGGGGGACGAGCTGGGGGGTGGGGGCTACCCCAAGAACAGGCCTGGGGGAGGCTGCTGGGACGCGGAGCCGGGCTGCGGCCAAGGCCAAGGCCACACCTGAAACCGTGTCGGGCTTTCCAGTCTGGCGATGGCGAGCTGTCATCCCCCAGCCTTGTCAGGCCCGGACTCCCCAAGGGTCCCGAGCCCCAGCTGGAAGGAAGCTCGGTCTCAGAGTTATGCCCTCCTGGTGTTGGGGCCAGAACAGCAGGCTGACAGCCCCAGGGTGGGAGGGTGTGTGTGTGTGTGTGTGTGTGTCACCTGGAGATGCAGGAGTGAGGTGACTGGGCGCAGTGGTCAGCCGAGTATTTCCTGTCATCCGCCTCCCTCCGCCCCGCCCCGGCCCCGCCCCCGCGCCCCCACCTCTCTTTCCTCTTTGACCAGTTTGCATCGGTTGTTGTTTACTGATTTAGACTTTAAGTTTACATTCTGCTCAGTTCCGGCTCCTTGGAAATCAGCAGCTTTCAATTAAGGGAAGTGGAGAGAGCTTGTGTTTGGGTGACTTAAAACAGTTCTTCCTTTAATGAATTTGGACATCAGATACAGTGACTTGTATTTGAGGAGGAAGATGACTTCTGTTTTAACGAAGAGAATTCACCAAAAACATTTCAGTTGACATCTGCCTTTTGTAGCAAAAGGTTTGCATATACATTTGTATTTCAAGCCTGTGAAGCAGTTGTTTACAAACCTGATACATAGAGCAGCTCAGGGACTTGGCCACAGTCACATAAGTAAGACACGGTAGAGCCGGTGGTGGATTTCAGAATGTCATTGTTCGTCTTAAAACTCCGTCCCCACAAGCAGGGTCTGAGGGAGACTATCTGAATGAGTCAAATACTGGCCATTTCTTGTGCCTGGAAATCAGCTCAGAGCTTTATCAATCGGAGGTCAGCAGCAGCAACTTTACTTGGAAAATGGTGATCATCATCCTTGTTGTTTGTTGTGTTTTTGGGAGCTTGGCTGTACTGTATTAGGCAGAACTAGTTGGTCCCGAATTACAATTATTTTCTGTATGAAGGAACAGTCTATCACTTTGCTTTTAAATTTAAATACACAATGTACAATTTGAGAAGTGGGAAGTTTTCGATGGGAAGGGATTGAGACTGGGTGATTTGAAAATGGAAAGAAGAGTAAGTGGCCTGTTTAATCCAGGCATTAAAAAAAAAAATTAACATGACCACTGGCTAGGAAATACAGTACTTTGTGTTGCAATTTCTCTTTGTGAGGGAGCTGTAATACAGGTTAGATCAGAAAATTCTGGTTCAATGATGAAAGTTTTCTGTTGGGGCGAAATCTCATTTTAATGTCTGTGAAATCATTCTACGTTTGAGTATCAGGCTGTGTGTTAAATACTATAGGAACTGGCATGGATCCTTTCAAAAGGGTTTCTATGGAGTACATAACTGAAATATAAAGTTGAAAGGGATCACTATTATAGAAGAGGTATAAATAACATTATGTAGGTATTCCGGGGGGAGAGAGATCATTTTCAGTTGAGAATGGTGTAGGAAGGCATTATGGCATTTGAGCTCGGTCTGGAAAGGTGATGGAAAGGATTTGAACTTTTGACAGCAAGGAGCGGAAGAGCATCCCAGGAAAGAATAAAACGAGTAAGTCATGGTAGTGGGAAAGCATGAGTTGTACATAGAAAAAAGTAAAGTGATTTGGTTTGGCTAGAGTGATGGACTTCAGAAAGTAGTGGAAAATAGGGTTGGAAAGGTAAGTTGGGGTCCAAACAGGAAGGGCTTGAAGTGCTGAATTAGGGGGAGTTGGATTTAATTCTTTAGGAACGTGTAAATTGAATTGGAAGGGAGACACTGGTGCTGTGACAGTAAAAAGGAGGGAAAGGATAGGAGAGGTTTCTTTGGTGATGGAATTGATAAGGTTTAACTGTTGATTGGGAATTGGGCCCAAGGGACATTGGAGTCAACCATTAATAACATTACTAACTAACATTTAGGTATATACTGTGTGCCAGGCAGTATGAAACATTCTTTACATGCATTATATTAATATTATAACAACCCGGAAATACAGCAGGTCACTGTGAGGCCACTGTGTGGGTTGTTGTAGGTACAGCTAAGGTTGACTGCTCGGTACAGAGGGTTGTTGTTACTATGTGTGGGGTACAGAAGAAAAATACTTAATTCTGCCTGTTGTAGAATGACGGGTCTGAGCAGGTATTGCTGAGGCAAATATAGGAAACATAATAATGGCCTCTAAGTTATCTATGAAGAAGTTAAAGAACAGCATTTCTGTTCTTTAATGTTGCTAATTTATTGATATTATTTTGTTTACTAAAAAATAAAAAACAGTTGAACTCTTAAAACTGATTATCATGGAACTCTATAGGTTTTTCTTTCTAAGTTATTTTCATATTTGCCCTTTGCTTTTTATTTTATTGCCACCCTCTCAAGTTTTCATGATCTCAGCATCTGTATTCCAACGGCATTCTCTGTGTCTCTGTTCCCATTCTAGCGCATCCTGATAATGCTATCTGCAGTATATCTAAAATCCTGTTTTCATTATACCACTCACCTTCTCAAGCGCCTAAGTGGCTCTGAATTTTTGCTGCATCAGATCTTAACATTCCTCCTTCCTTTTACTCTCTCTGTCATCTTAACCCAAATTAGCCATATTGTCTACTTCTCTACACCCTTTGCTGTAGTCAGGCTTTCCTTCTTAACATACCTAAACACTAGCTTTTGCTCATCCTGTTCTTCTTTCTTTAATATCTTTTCCTACCTCACTAGCTATCCAAATTATACCCATGGGATAGCTAGTGGTACTTAACTCCTGCCACTTGTTAACTAAGCCTTCCTTTGCTTTTGACAGTGAAATCAGAAAGCATGAGCTTTAGGGTCAGTAGGTCTGTGCCTGAGTCTCTGCTCCTCTGTGTACTGTTAACCTTGAACAGGTTATTTCCCCTTTTTACCTGTTATCCCATTTAAAAAATGAATAGTATCGTTAAAATGGGACGTTTGAAAGTGCTTAGTATAGTGTCTGGCACATAGTAGCCATTCAGTAAATGGTAGTCTTTTTGGTTTAGTTCCCTGCCCAACTATAGTTTATTAGTTAGATGAGCAGGCTCAGGAGTCAGGCCACCTGTATTTGAATCCTAGATCTGCTTCTTATAAGCTATGTAATATATTACTGTACCTCTCTTTTTCTCAATTTTCTCATTTATTAAATGGAGTTAATAATAATCTCTACTTCATAAGGCTATGAGGATTAAATGTCATGCGTTTAAAACAGTACCTGCAACATAGTGTTTAGGAAATGTTAGCTATCTTTTATTTTTCTTTGAATTTGCAGGCAATTTGTTTTCACAGTTTCACGCTTGCTTATATTCTGAATTCTTTAGTTAATTTATGCTTTTTGACCTTGTCATTCCAACTAGAAAGATCACTGTTAGTTTTATGGGAATAGAGAGACCATACATTGTACGTTTCTCTTCAGTTAGCTCCAGTTCCTGGCACAGCAATGGATATATAATTGGCATTCAATATGTCCCTAGTTGATTTTATCATTGCCAAATACATTTTTCTTATTCTTGAGTTTGATAATAATAGCCATCTTTAATTGAGTTCTTTTATATGCCAGACACTGTTCTAAATTTAGCTTCATATTATCTCATTTCATTCTCACAACAACCACATGAAAGTTCTCTTGTTATTCTCATTTTTAAGGTGAGGAAACTGAGGCACAGAGGAGTGGACTTTTTTGCTCAGGATCACGAAGCTAGAAAGTGGTGGAACCAGGAATAACACATAGGCAGTCATAATTTAGTCTTTGCTCATTACATATACTATCACTGGTATGGTAAATGGAAGATTATACCTTTGATATTTAGTATTCATTTTCAGTTTAGTCTGGAGCTTTACTATTGTAATATAGTGGTTTATTTAAAAAATATTTATAGATTTGAGAGCGAGAGAGAGAGATACACGAAGGGGGAGAGAGAGAGAAATATTGCTTTGTTGTTACACTTATTTATGCATTCATTGGTTGCTTCTTGTATGTGCCCTGACCAGGGATGGAACCTGCAACCTTGGTGTGTCGGGCCAATGCTCTAACCAATTGAACTATTTGGCCAGGGCTTACAGTTAATTTTTAAAAGTCAGGTCATTTTCACTGAAGCTATATAAAAACAATGTAAACCTAATTTTCAGAATAAGACACAAAATGACATCATTTTCATAAGCACCTCATAGGCTAGCATTTTCTCATTTGTTGTAAGTAATGTGTTCTAGGTTGAATTTTATTTGTTTGTTTTTTTGAAGTATAAATTAGAGCATTAGAGTCTGTCAAATGAAGAAGATCCCCCCCACCCCATGATGCTTTTGATATGACTAGACTTTGATTTGATTTGGATGGAGATTCAGATTCTGCTTAAAGCTGATATCAGCTAAAAACACATAAAGAGTGTTCAATTTAGAATAGTTCCTAGTGTGGATGTTAGCTGTAATGTCAAATAAATTGATTTGCTCTGTAGTCTTTTAAAAGTTTTAGCTAGGACATCCTTTAAAAAATGAAAAGTCACACACACAAAAATGTCAGTGATAGGAGAAATTGAAACCTAGTTTTTTAAAAATATATATTTTTTATTTATTTCAATAAAAGGAAGGGAGAGAGATAGAAACATCAGTGATGAGAGAGAGTCATTGATCGGTTGCCTACTGCATGTCTCACACTGGAGCGAGAGCCTGCAACCCGGGGATGTACCCTAACCAGGAATCGAACCGTGACCACTGAGCCACACCAGCTGGATGAAACCTAGTTTTATAAATAACAAAATTGCTTACATGGAACTAGAATGCTTAGAAAAGAGTTTTCTTATTAACCAGGTTGAGCAGAAAACCCTTTTAGATTCAATTCATTTTGATAAAAATCTTTTCAAAAAGTATCACTTTACTTTTTGACATTTTAAATACACTCAAGTGAAAAGAAGTGTATA